TTTAAGTTGCAGTATTGGAAATGGAAGCAATAGATTAAATTATGCATATATAGTGGCAATAATATAAAAGTAGTATTTTCACATGTCATCGCAGATATGATCGTAGGCAAGATCTTCGCTAACAATGTGTCAATTTCTTCTCGAAAGGTAAATTTATTAGCAGCGTGTCATTATATTTTGGACTTGCTTGGCTCCCTGTCTCGGGATCTTAATCCCTGTAGGAATCAGTCTCATTTATTGGAGGAATGATACTTGTCTCCCGCCATTTAAAGATTTCAATATAAGATCAAGGTCAATGTCGGTATAAGTTTTAACCGAGGTTCCATCACAGTTGTACATTTCAGTCTCAACCCCTGGAAAAAAAAAAACACGCAAAAAAAAGGTAAACGTGAAAAAAGAGAGACCTAAGATACGAAGCAATTCCGTAGAATCACGGATCATCATCCGGGGTGTGCTGATCCGCATAGGTATGTATAACGCGATCTGCCGAAGCATTAGCGGGCGAGACTTACTATGTTCAGTGTAGTCTATCAATTTATCCGCTGGCCATGCACTGGCCAAGCACTGGCCAACTGTGGAGTTCAGGGAGATTGCGCTTTTTTTTCGCCCTAAGAGCACAGACATCAATTTTTCTGATAGGAACTCGGCAAGTTCGTTGACTTTCGGCTACTGTATGTATGTTTAACCTCAGGGCAAAGACACTACCCCTTTTTCACTTGGTTTTTTTTTTTTTGTATTTGGATGTATGGAGTATCAAGGACCTGTGTAGTTAAAGAGCAACTCTGGCTCGGGAGATCATCGCGTGTAAGGCATGACAAAACCAGATTCTGGCGTGCTGGGGAAAAAAAACCGCCAAGCCTTGCCTTTTCTCTAATGATCGCCCCCTGAACGATTAGAGCTAAGGAAATTGACCGGAGAATACCCGCCTATTGTACATTGTAGACTCGACCAGACCATGTGGGAACATTTTCCACTCTCCTTTCTTACTCGGTCATTTGCTAGCTCGTTTAACCTCAGTTAGTACAAATATACGAAGTGGATATCATTCTGTTCTTACAAAGACTTATATAAGGCAAATTGATAATATGCAATATGCAATATGCAATATCGAAAAAAAAGACTAACATGCAGAAATGGGCCCACGTGCATTAAGTGACATGGATGAACGTCTGCAGGTCCTTTCGGGATTGAGACATTTAATTCTGAGAAGTGTTCTTTCTTTTTTTGATTTCTCTCTTTTTACTGTCCAAATAAAAACAATAAACTACAGCCGCGAAAGGCGCTTTATATTACACTATCATATGAATATGACCAGGAAAAAACAAAACAAAAAAGAAAGAAAAGCAAGAACAAGAAATCCCCTCAATAGATAAATATGCAGTTCTGGAGCTTTGGGAAATGCAACTAGGGCATAAAAAATTGGGGACAGTCAGGGCTTTCGGGTTGATCGTCCGAAGTCGCGGAATACAGGCCAAGGTATTATTCACCTGCGTACGCATATGTTATACGGGTGTACGGGTGTACGGAGTACAGCGCGACTGGATACAGAGCGGCTGCGGCGTCCAATGATTGACGCGCCATATGAATTTGATATTGATCATCCCGTTATGCCCTCGACACCGGATATCCCGCACCAGACATTGGAAACTGGTGTGTTGTCCGCGCGGAGTCCGCTAAAATGGTCCCACTGTTATATCGTTTGGAGATTGTCGGTGTCGATTTGATTTGTATCCGTCCATTTGTCCACCGGTTAAGTTAATGGATTATTATTTATCCCTAATAACAAGGTACTTGGGTACTCCGTACTTTGGAAGACAATACTTTGCACTCCGTAGTTAGTACATGACTCGTTAGGGCGTATCAGGTATAAATGATCCCGTGAAGAATAGTGTCACGAAAGATAACCCCAAACAAGTAAAAGGCATTAAAAATTATCCAAAATCAAAAATCAAAAAGCCCTTCACTTGCTTTTTCCTCACCGGCAGTGGAGGAAGAAGTTCCGCGCCTGCGGGGTGAGATCCGGCCCCCCTGAAAACGCCAATCATCAATTGAAAGAGCGAGTGTCGGTTTTCCGAGCTAAGAGCCTTGCATCTTGAACATTTTCTCCCTCGTTTTTCCCGTGTTCTTCCTATCAGACTCCTATTATCCAGGGTGGGGGTTTGGAGCATACGGAGTACTCCGTACTAAAGATGTACGGAACGGAGGACGGAATGGTTTTTTGATCCCCCACTTTCTCTAATGGGGAGGCTGAAATGTGAATTATTAACAGATTATTAGGAGAATATTAACGCGAACACCGAATCACGAATAACGGGGGGTACCAAGGGGATGTAATTACGGTAAGGATTATACTGTCCTCCACTATGGATTGAGCACTGAGCATACACTGATCGTACCGGAGAGCCGCCGAGTACTCCGCTCGCAATTTGATGAGTTTGACCAATTGGCGGTGATAGTGGGCTCGTCCCACGGAAATGCCGCTAAGAAAATGATGGCCCCCTTTCTCCTCTTTTCTTGGTACGGAGATTGGTGTGGTATGTGCTTTTTTGTACTATAATTATCATATATAGAAACGGTTATTAGATAAAACGTCTAAGCTGGTACCTATGTACTTATGTACTTATGTACCTATGTACTCCGTAGGCAATATAGGATTGGAGATCGAAATAGGTATCGGAACTTGCATCTAGAATTGAACTTTAACCACTTGATCTTGAAGACGTAATATTTCTCAGACACGTCCAGATATCAGGAGATAGGCTCCGATCACCGGGGGTTGTTGTTGTTGTTGTTATTCCACGGTCCCCACTCACGCGTCTGTAGGTATCGTAACGGTTACGCGACCAGATATGTATTCTTGTCATGACTCAACCGGTTTCATTGCAGAACGTTAACATGACTAGCCTGTGATTAAGGCGATTAAGGTGTGATCGAACATAGCCGTTGTCTATAAGTGGTATACCCTCAATGGGTATTCCTAAGTTTCTTTATGTACGTTCTACAAGTACATGGATCATGTACTAGGGCAGTTGGGTTCTACACCGAAGTATGCATATGTACTCTGTATGGAGTACTGAATACCTGTAATCAAAGTGCAACACTGAACCTCCTTTTCAGGAAAAGAAGCTATCACCGGCTTCAACCGCCCTCGGCTTTGAACCTTTGCATCAGACTTTTACGCTAGACCGAAACAAGTCAGGGCTGTCCACCGAGCTTCTCCATTTCTCCACCCGACTCCACTACTTTTCTCCTATTGGTGAAATAGGGACCGAGTGCCTGCTTTGGGTGCCTTTGGTCGTCCACACTAGCCCTGGTCTTCCCGAGTCCCATCGCTTCTTCTTCCCCCGACTTGCGCTACTCCCTTTTCTACCTTAGTTCCCTTCCCCTACGGCTAACTAGGTAAGTGTCCCAGTATCTCCCCCTCCCCTCTATACCCCTTTTAGAATCGGTTCCATCTGTCGGTTGAGGTTCCTCGGGCACGCCATTTCCTAGTGCCCACCTCAAAAGCCCTGGCTCCTGACATCTTGGTTAGTACCCACGGGCCATACACGCTAGGTTCTCCCTTTCGACGCACCCGAGTTGCGGGTAGACTAAGAGGCCTCCAGTTAGGAACCTAACCAGTAGTCCTTAGCAAAAAACAACAACACCTGTATACATCATTTTTTTATGATATTCCCATCCAGCAATAATTATTTATTAATGATAGAAGAATTTGAGAAATTGGGTTGCCACATCTCTCCCCTGGATGGTTCCGCTTTTTTTTTTTTCTTTTCTTTCAAAACCCGAAATCCGAAAAAAAAAAAAAAAAAAAAAGTGTTATCACACGGACATGGAAAGCTTAGCCGGTAACGACACTGAGGGGAAAGGGGGCCAACCCAGTTAACTGTCGGAGTATTGTGTGGAAAAAGGGAATGGTCCGAGATCAGAGAAAGTAAATGATTAATTTCATTTTTATCCCCTCTTTTTGATATTCTCTTTTTGATATACGGAGTACATATATTCAAAATGTGTAAATGTTTCTCCTCGGAATTCTTTGTATTTATAGTGTACTGTGTATTATCCCCTGTCTATATACGGAGTACATCGTATATGGAGAGGAGATACATACAAGGTGAGACTACCCAGGTGTTTCCAAGGTTCTATTGAATTTATATTGAATATATAAAAACCAAAAGCTAAAAAGAAAAAAGAAAAAAAAGGAAAAAAGACAGAAAAAGAAAAAGAAACCCAAAAAAGAATGCAGATGTAATTTTCGCATGACCAACGATATCGCCAACCAAAATTACGTGGTCCACCTAGAGGATCCACAACATCCTCGGATCCCACGAGGACTACTTTTCCTTTCTCCTAATCGTCTTAAATCGTCTTACCTTTTAGCCTGCTCCAAAGTCGCGTTGACTCCTGACTTTTTCTTTGACTAGTCTCTTAGTTATTTCCCCCGTGGCTATTTTTCCCGGTGCCTCGTGCTTACCGCCACCTGCAAGGCATCCTCGTCCGAACTAAAGATTAAGCATCTAAGCATCTTGGTATCAACCTCCATTCTTTTTTTTTTTTTTTTTTTTTTTTCTTTCTATTTTTGAAGCTACGCGCTTTCAATCCCCAATTTACAATATCTTGAATGTTGTGAATTGAAAATATCCTATATTCTTCTCTTTCTCCCCCCCAGATCTCTTATCTCAAAAGCATCTGTGCGCAAACCTGTTCGATCAGTGTTTCGCGACTCAACTTCACACAATATCAATTCCCTGGGAATTGAACGGAAAAAAAAGGTACGTTAAAGAATACATATGTATCCTAGATCTGGAGAAGGCCAGCCACGATCCCAACGTGGCAACCTAGTGCCCCCGTCCCCTTGCTTGGAACGTGTCGGACCGACTCATCAATTTCCCCGACTTTTTTTCCCACCCATTGTTGTGTTGACGCGTCTTGACACAGATCCAACGCAAAAAACTGTTCCTTCCTAGATTCGTCGGCATCCTTGCGCGCGAATCCTCTCTTTTATGGACAACCGGCCCGCTTCCGAGTACGCACAGCCAGGTTCGCACCACCCAAACACCGTGACCGACGCACCCTCTGAACAAAAACCTGCAGACCAAAATTCTGCTGCTGCTGCTCACTACACCCCGCAACCCGAGGTCCGCCCTACGCCGCAGTACACACCGCAGCCGGAGGTTCGACCTAATATTCCCTCGGCCAACACCCCTCAGTCGGATTACGGTCTGAACCCTCCGCCGACCGCCCGCTCGCCTGCCTACCAGGATTATCTGCACCGTCCTCCCCAGTCCTACGCCCCCAACTCCCAACCCGGTGGTGCGGCAGGTATGGCCCAAGCAACAAGTCCGTTCATCAACACCTTGCCTACGGGCCCGCGCAGTCCGCACTCAAAGTCTGACGCGCCCGTTCCTATAGATCCTTCGCTCCCGGCCAACAGCCCCACCTACCCTCCTCCCTACTCTCCTTATCAGCCTCAGGGGCATGAGATGGCGCAGTACCAGGGTCACCCCCTCCGCCTCAGCACATGTACGCGCGTCCGGATTGGCCTCACAGCTATGGACAACAGCATCATGGATTGCCGGGACCTTATGCTTCCCCGGCCACAACGGTTGGTTCCACCTCTCCTATTCCTGCACTGCCAGGGTCACGCGCTCCAAAGGTATGTTTTTGATGATTCCTGGGGGTATTTCTGAAGGCTTTTCACATTGTTCAACCATTGTCTGTCTTGGATGCCTCTGGGGGTTAGCTATGCGGTTCGTAGGTCGCCATCGCAGGGATCGTCAAAAACAGCGTGCTCTGCCCCTCAACTGCTTCCCTTTTTTTGGGGGAATATGATTGGGAATCCATTGGGTTTGATCAAAGCTGATTCACGGTCCACTCTCATCTAGGTCTACTCATTTGTCCCAATCCCTGGTGCACAGCAGCATAAGCGTCCCCGTCGTCGTTACGAGGAAATTGAGCGCATGTATAAGTGTGGATGGAACGGGTGTGAGAAAGCATATGGTACTCTAAACCATTTGAATGCACACGTGACTATGCAATCGCACGGTGCGAAACGCACTCCTGAGGGTAGGTCCATCTTATTTTCTTTGTTTTTAGATGTTTGGGGGCCAATGCGACGGAGATCTTGAATCTTTTGTCGCAAATGGCTGGATCGGGTTAGCGCCGGCCCTCGGACGCTAGTGAGTTACACTAGATGTCGCGGGGCCCGCAGTAGCGTGGCCGACGGCGTGGAGGTTAAGCTTGCCTCTTATCCCTTTCCGCCGTCCCCTCGCTACCAAACCTAGCCCATGCTATTCCTATTTTGGAAACTGGTTATCACTACCCAAGTTCACTGCTGACTTTTCTCTTCTAGAATTCAAGGAAATCCGCAAGGAATGGAAGGCTCGCAAGAAGGAGGAAGAGGCTCAGCGTAAGGCTATTGAGGAGCGTGAGCGTGCTGCCGCTCAGGCCGCCCAGGCCAACCAAGTCGAACCTCCCAATCCTTCTGACCCATCCCACGGCCAGCCACCTTCTTACGCCGGTGGAGTCCGTCCTCAACTCCCTCCGATCGGATACCAGCCTGCGGATAGCCAGGTCCCCAGCCAGTACGGTGGTCCTCCTGGCGGTGGAATGGTCTATCAGAACAATGCACAGATGGCCTATCCTCCCAACTACCCTCACTCTCCCTACCAGAGCGGACCTGTGTACCCGCAACGTGAGTAATGTCGCCGCCTTTCTCTCTCCATACTAGGATCGACTCTCTGGACTTCTCTTTCGACAAAGTCATCCTCGCCCGACCTGTCAGCTGATCCATAAATTCGCTACGGCTTCCAGAGACTCAATCCAACTATCCGCAATAATCTTTTCCCCCGCATAATCACCTCTTCCGCTATGGACCTACACGGACGGAAATGCATTTGATTTTTCTTTCTTATCACGATATCCCCTGTCCTTGACTAATGTTCTCGTCCTGGATTCCGATTCCCATTTTCCTTCCCCTCAACACACCACGTCACTTCCGCTCTCAAGTCCTTCGTGCTATGATACCAACCTCTGCGGCTTTTATTCCTAATCTGTCTAAGAGTGGCTTTTCCAGCTTTGTTCTATACCTGTCATCCTTTTTTGTGTTAGAGTGCATCGAGCTGAGAGGGTGTGCTGCCCTTTTGCACCCTCTCTCTGTTCTGTTTCCTACTTGAAATTCGATGCAGAAAGTGATGTATGTCTTATCCTTGTTTGCCTGTTTGCTGGGGTCGTGGCTTCAAGGATGGGTTGGCGGATTATTTGCATCTGTTCATTATCGACAGCATTCTCCCAAAATCGTTCTCCTGGGGGTTCTTTGTTTTAGTCTTACCTGTTTCTCGTTTTCCTCCTATCTTGTGTTAAACTTTGCTACATGCAAATTGTGTTCCCTTCTCTCCTCTCCTTCTCCATTTCCTTTCCATGACGTACATTATGCTCCACGGACTTATGTTCCAATCTGATTATGTGTATCATTTATTTTTCTTTGTCCTTTTCTATCCTTAGTGCATTATTTGTATACGGGTTAGTTAGCAATTCTCATTGTCTTGTTAATGTGGTGTACTATATGCCTAGTCATTGGTTGGGTATGCAAACGAGGACACATTTTCAGTGATATGTAGGTCAGAAAGTACGGAAATGGAATCCACCAAATACATGCTAGTGCAATCATGACCCAAAAGAAAATAAAAAGAAAAGAAAAGGCACTAACCTATCTTCCTCTGTATTATGCGCTAGTCTGACTTAAGCATATCAAAAAAGGCATAGATAGCCGAGCCAGAGAGAATCAAAACAGACAGACCATAGTACTCCGTATTGTAGCAACAGATCAACATTTGTATCCATTTTCAGCTAAGCCACGCCTAACCAAAATCAGCACTAAGTAGTACCGGCACTTACGTGGACCGAACACAATACCATGCATTGAAAGCCGTTTGATGTGCGTACGCACCGGCAACTACACTACTGCACAAGGTACATACATGTATGTATGCGAGTGGGAGTACCTGACTAGAGCCAAATAAGACAAAGCGCTAGCCCTATGTAACTATATGTGGGCTGTACATCATACATAAGACAGGGAAGCTAGTACAGTAAAGTGTAAAAGCGTAAGATGTCTCCACGTGGTTGGGGACGTTAGTATCAGCCACCGATATCATCGTGGGGAGAAGTGGTAATTTTCCGCTTTTAGAGTTATTCCTAATCGTTTCTAGCTTGCTTCCTCTTCCCGTCTAGCTGCCCGCACATATGTCACATTGCTTAGTGCTTAGTCTGCTTCTCTTTGTACCCCACTGGGATGTTCCTTAGCTTCGGACTAGTGTCGTGTGCTACTCTGGGTAGCACGAAAGTATAGTCGTCTGGTTGGGCTAAGGAGGACGCTAGATAGGCAGGATGTAGGGATTGATCTACATGGGTATACAGGTAAATGTTAAATGAAATATATCTACTATGTAGCTATGTAAAGTCTTGGATTTTTAGATCTCGTGTACATATGTAGGTAGGTATACTTGGATTGAATAATGGGAATACAATATACTTGGGCACAATGAAGACTCTGAAACCTGTGGCTTCGGCTAGATATTATGGATCTAATAATAGAAAATCTATGAGATAGAGAAATGTGATGTAGTTTTTATATGAAGCTTTACATCCACTTCGATATAGGTTGATTTAAAGTAGGAAATGTACCATCTTCATCCACAGATCAGTACATGGGCTAAGTCCACGGGTGTAACGCAGATCCAGATACCCCAAGGAAACTAGTACACTAGTAAAGTACTTAAACGCACAGAAGACTCTGGGAAATGTGCTCTAGCGCTCCCGTCAGGCCCGCAGGGAACATGGGTGGAAGGAATGGGAACTAAACCACTTGCAGTCTAGTTGGATGTCAGCGAACCTGAGGTATCAATGAGTGTTGATGCCTCAGGCGGAGACAATTACTGCCTGAATATACGGACATCAAGTCTAGACCCGATATGAACTAGCGCCCGGACAATCTGCGAAATTGTTTTGCGGTCCGTCTCCAACATGCAATGAAGAAATAACAATCTGTTCTTGTTTTTCCATTTTTCTATTTTGCCACTTCGCCCTTGTTGAATTCGTGTCTCTCTTTATAGCATTGTGCAGGACACAAGCTGAACGCCTGGAAACCACAGTAATCCGGTCATGACATTCCGGTTTCCGGGGTCGCTCGTGAACAGAGCTTTGCGCAGCCGACTTCTTACCGCGCAGCAATACCGTGCTACTACTGCATCCCAACGACTACCACAGACATGGATCGCGTCGAGTAACTACCGCCAATATATTTCCTCCTCTTCCTCCTACAACCGATCTTCCGATAGAGACCGCGATGCTCGCCGCATAGGACATGTTGGCGAGAAACATTTTAAGCGTCGGCATGACAATAGGCGGAAGGGCCAGGATGTCAATACTAGGGAGAGTCATGATATGTTGATGGCCATTGCGTCGGGTTCGTTGACTGGGCGGTACAACAGCCAGCTTGAATCTTCAGCAAGTAAAGCTCTGGATCCCGAGGCCGCTGAAACCGAGGAGTTGGAGAATGATCCATATGATTACGGGGATGGTGAAAGCGAGACGCAGGAGAACGGTGTGCTTGAGGATCAGGTATCGAAAGAACAGGATGTTGAGGCTGATATTGAGGCCGATTCCGCCGATGGCGAGGTTCCTGAGAATACCAGATTTCGCGGTCCGCTTGGAGGAATGCCTAAACTCACACCCAAGATCATCAACGAGGAGTTGAAATGGTTGAATGACCCTCGCAAAATGGCGGATCGGGTCGCGCGCATTTTACACAGTGGCAATCCGGCCCTGGCCGCGGCCTTGGTTCGCGCTGGAACAAAGCAGGGGTTGAGATGTGATGTTGCCTGGAATCACCTCCTGCAATATTGTATGGATCAAAACCACCCGCAGGCTGCGTTCAAGTTCTATAATGATGTGAGTTTTGTCGTTCTGCGGTGCTACCACTTAGGGGGTTCCCCAAGATTGGGGCTTGGACTTGTATGCTGACAGATTTTCTCTCGCAGATGAAAAAGCGTGGCAGGAGACCAACTCCCAGAACGTATACGATCATGTTGAAGGGCTTCAGCTCAGCCCCGAGGTCTTTGGGTGTCGCCAAAACTGCCGCCTCTGTCTACCGCTCGATTGGTTCACCGAACTCCGGAGTCAAACTTGATATCATACACACCAACGCTATGCTTACAGTCTGTCATCGTCATTGGGATATGGATCGGCTGTGGAAGATTGCCGGTGAACTACCCGAAGAGGGACCAGGTGCCCCGGATGCTACCACATACACTATTATCTTGAACGCTGTACAATTCGCAGCTCGCCGAGATGTAGAGAAAATGTCTCCGGATGAGATTGAAAAGATTCTCGAACGGAAGGCCCAGGTTATTACCGAAGGCAAGCGGATTTGGGCCGATGTCATCTGGCGTTGGAAGAACCAAACCTTGAAAATCGACAATGAACTTGTTAACGGCATGGCCAGCTTGCTTTTGGAAGGCGGTAGTGATATTGACTGTTACAATGTCATGGAATTGTATAAACAAACCATGGGGATCCCCATACTGCAAAAGCGACCCACCGAGAACGAAAAGACGACCCGCCGCAGGATCACCCCCGAGCAAACTCAAGCGATTAAAGTTTCAGAGGCTACGCGGCAATCAGAAATGGAAGATGTTCCGTTTGTAGACGAAAACAATCGACCAATCCAAAGTTTGGAACCGGCCGTGGAACTTGAGCAAGACTTGAAAGAAGAGGTGGAAGAATTGGAGATGGAGGAAGAGGAAGAGATGGAAGAGATGGAAGAGGAGGAAGAGGAGGACTTCACAGAACTCTTCAAACCTGTCGTTCCCCAGTCGGAGGAGCTATCATTCCTTGAGCCAAACAGCAAGGAACTGACTCTTATCCTGAATGCTTGTTTCACCATGACCCAAGGATCCGAGGGGGGTCAGGCATACTGGAAACATATGACTTTGGAAGACCACGAATACCGCATTGACCCCGATACCTTCACCTACATCCAATATTTCCGCCTCCTCCGCATCTCTCGTTCCAGCAAAATCGCTCTCAACACCATGCGAGACCAAATGGTCCCCTCCGGCCAAGCAACCGGAACGGCATTCCACGTCGCTCTCAGTGTCTGCCGCCGTGATCGTCGCAACCACTCAGTTCTCAATCACGCAAACGAGCTGATGGGTTTGATGGACAAAGCATTGATCCTACCTGACATTCGCATCCTCGAAGGCTATCTGGAAACCATCCAGATTCTTTCCTCTACTCCATCCACCCTTTTGTACCTCAGAGGACTCGACACAGAAGATCCCAAGTCCTCCAAGACCACTAGACTACACGAGATGGGCCGGAAGCTACAAGCGAAGCTGCGACTAGTTGCCATCGCCACCTTACGGCCATATATCCTCCAGCTGCACGAGGCAATGGAGAACGGCAAACCCGAGTCGAAGACTCGCTGGAGTGCCCTCCAGAACACACTTTCGGATTCTGTCCCCGGTCCCGCGGCTGTGAAGATCATGTCGCGGGTTCGTCTGGTGGTTGACGATACCCTTAAGCTTGATTATAAGCCTTATGTTTCAAAGGCCGAGCGCAAGGCCCTTGACGCTGACTCGAAGATGCTGAAGAAGTATTCCGATAAGGATGTCATTGCGGCTTTCAGGAACAAGAAGGTATACCCAACATTTGAGCAGAAGGAGGAGGCTCGGGAACGCATCAAGAAGTTCCAGTGGGAGGCTCGCAACTCCCGGAACCAAGGAAGTTCGGATCAGAAGGAGTTTTCCTCGTGAGAAGCACATATTGAGGCTTAATCATATTCGTGGCCTTTGCCACGAGGAGACTGAGTGAGGTCTCGATTGTATTATGTTTGTATATCACACATTGGGGGCTATAGATGGCGTTGAATATTTTTATTAGTACATAATACCATTTGGTACATTCTCTACTTCTAACATAAAATAATAATTATGACTCTAAAGGTTTTGGTGTCGTTGTCAGCTTGTAAGGCCTATCATAGATAAACTTATTCTTTAATTTGCTCCTAATGATGGTATGTGGCAAGTCTCCTAACAAGAGAGAAATGCAAAACAATTGGATTATATTATCTGCATGTATTATCTAGCCAGTCAGTAACACAGTAGATACCATACAATCAATGGACCTTTTTCGCTAGAAAACTGCCGAGCTTTTCTAAATGCTCCGCTATATCAACTGCCAAGTGATAAGACATTTAAACCTCATTATTATAATTCTATCATTTCCAAGGTTCAATGCTCTATTTTAGATAATAAAGATCAATTCAAAGGAGTATAGCATGTAATAATCTGCGAAATCGGTTACTTGACGAGGGAAGTGTCACGCAATCTGACAGCCGATGATGAAATCCATCCCTATAACAGGCTAGAAAAATGGTCCGATAGATTGTCATAGACTTATACCGGCCTTAGCGTTCGGAGGTTAAATATATTCCACAAGATAATTCTGTGATTACTGTGGGGATGATGGCGAATGTTTGATCTACGGCACGCCATATGCAGTTCTAAGAATTCACCCGACAGGGCTCGGAAGTTTGCCGTTCCCCTCTTTCGCATTGTTGATGGCGCGAGATACGTATATGATAGACGAATTCCGAGGTGGGATGGTGCGGGGGTAGTACACTTGGGCAAAGCCGTCCTTCCGGTCTTTGTTGATTTGGGACATGAGGGGTTGTGTCACTCTTATAGACCATTGCCAGATCTGTTTCGCACTTGCGCGAGTAAGGCTCGACAGAAAGCATCGTTTGTCTTGAAAACTGCGCATCATGGGAGACATTGCAGCTAGTAGCCAGGATGGCTCCGCCAGCGCTGGCAAGAAACACATCTTGCTTAATGCTTTTGATATGTCAACTGTGGGACATCTGTCCCCTGGACAATGGAAGGTTAGTGGTATAGGAATTGAACATGAAGGGCCATAATGCTGATAGCTGCATAGAACCCCAAAGACAAGTCTGCGACCAAGCGAACACTCGAGTACTGGATAGAGTTGGCGAAGCTGTTGGAGCGCGGTGGAATCAACGCGTTGTTCCTGGCAGATACAACTGGAGGTCATGATACCTATGAGGGTAAACTGGACGAGTGTATTCGACGTGCGGCGCAATGGCCTGTGACAGATCCTACTATCGTGAGTATCAATAGCACAAATGTTCTGACCAGAGTCTGACTTCTGGTTAGCCAATTTCGGCAATGGCTGCAGTGACAAAGAATCTGGCCTTTGGCATCACAGCCTCGACTTCATTTGAGCAGCCTTTTTTGCTGGCTAAGCGCTTTTCAACTTTGGACCATTTGACCAACGGTCGACTGGGTTGGAACATCGTGACCTCATATAAGAAAGCGGCTTTCAAAGCCATTGGTGTGGATACTCCAATTGAGCATGACGAACGGTACCGTCAGGCAGATGAGTATTTGAAGGTGCTCTATAAGTGAGTTGCATTCCCACAGCTCGGTTAGGGTGATGTTATTGAAGACTGACTCGGCGGTTGTCGCGTATAGATTGTGGGAGGGTTCCTGGGCTCCTGATGCCCTGTCGCCCAACCCCGAAGCAGACACGTACATAGACCCGGAGAAAGTCCGCCAGATCAACCACAAGGGCAAGTACTTCTCATTGAGCACACGACACATCGTCGACCCGTCTCCGCAGCGGACACCGTTCCTTTTCCAGGCAGGAACTTCACCTGCAGGATCGGAATTTGCTTCGACACACGCGGAGGCAATCTTTGTCTCTTCCCATTCGCCAGAGGTGTTGAAGCCGAAGATCGCAAATATCCGCAAGCTAGCCGCAGAAAAAGGCCGTGATCCACAGTCAATCAAGTTCTTTGGTACCTTCACACCCATTGTAGGCAATACCGACGAAGAGGCGTGGGAAAAGTACGAGGACCTGAAGAAATACGCCTCTGTTATTGGAGGACTGGTTCTTTTCAGCGGATGGACGGGAATTGACATTTCCAAAATCCCATTGGACCAAGAAATCACGGCTTCAGACTCGTTGGAGGCAAACAAAGTCACTAGCTTGCTTGACTCATTAACCACGACTAGCAAGGAAATCCCGCGCTGGACGCCTCGCGTGGTTGCTGAGAGGGCTGCAATCGGTGGTCTTGGCCCGGTGGCTATTGGAAGTCCTGCTACTGTGGCCGATGAGATGGAGCGTTGGATCCAAGAGGCTGACCTCGATGGGTTCAATCTTGCCTATGTTACCACGCCTGGCACTTTTGAGGAGGTGGTTGACCTACTCATCCCTGAGCTAAGGCGACGCGGTCTTTATCCTGAGCTCCCAGACTCCTCAGAGGCACCTCTCACAGCTCGTGAGAAGGTATTTGGCAAGGGACAGAAAGAGCTCAGGGCTGATCACATTGGAAGCAAGTACAAGTACGATGTGTATCAGGAGGAGGAGCCTTATGTTGAGGATACCGTGGAAAATTGATCGAATTAACGAGATCTGATGATTCAATTTATGAAGATAGAAGATTAGAAGATTATTAAATTGATTTAGAATTAATATGCATACAACATACATGTATGCAAGAGATGCGTAGAAGTGAAGGTGAAACAGAACGTGCCTGGTAACATTACCTACCCGTGACCCAGTACGTAATGCCACTCTAGCCTTTCCGGGACAGCTTTGGCCAACTCGACCTTCATACTCCTCGATTACCTTGACATTTCCTGACTTCGCCTCTGAGAGGACTAAAACTAAACGAGGTGTCATTCTTGCGCTAGTCTTTCAACCATAACGACCATACCACGCGAACCATGGCTACCGTACACCGAGGCCATCCCCATGATGAACCCCATGATGACGACTCTCTCCTTGGTGATGATTTGATTGAAGCCGATGATGGTGAGTACTTTTATTTGCCCCTCTGAACTACCAGCGTATAAACAATATCCTAATTCGGTGTGATTCTAGCCGTCGAAGCTGACGACCCCCTGCGCGACACCGACACGGCCCCTCTGCGAGGCAACATCGAATCCAGCTCGAGCAACCGCGGCAATTCCTCTAGCTATGGCAACTACTTAGCATCCTCTATGGGTGGTGAGGATCGTCGTGCGACGCAAAATACAATCGACGAGAGTGTTTGGGAGACATTGTCACGCGACTTGATTGCCGTGTGGGAGAAGATGCGCCAGGTGCTTTGGCCGAAATACTTGCTCGGAGGAATGATGCAGCGCGGAGGCAGCGGTACCGCTGATTCCGAGCAGGGTGGAGTGTCTGGATTTGGTGGTAACATTCGAGGACTCGTTGGACGCTGGCCGGATGCCGACGTGGTCCTGCAGGGTGGCATGAGCGAAGGGTTGCGAGACTGGGATCTCTGGTAAGCTAACCCTACACACGAAAAATCTGCTTAAAAGCTAATCCGGGCTTTACTCTAGGGGACCGCTTGTCTTTTGCCTGGTCCTGAGTTTGTTCTTGTCTGTCGCAAAGGGTGATCAATCGTCGGTGGTTTTCTCGGGTGTCTTCTGTCTGGTCTGGATCGGAGAAGCAGCTGTGACTCTTCAGATCAAGCTCCTTGGTGGCAAGATGTAAGTGTTGTATGGATTATCCCCCAATATTGCAGTTTACTAACATTCCGGCCTGTTAGTTCTTTCTTCCAGTCGATTTGCATTATCGGTTATACGCTATTCCCCTTGGTCATTGCCGCAATGCTGAGTGCACTGGGACTTCCTACTATCGCACGGATACCAGTATATCTTGTGTTAGTCGCATGGTCTTTAGCAGCTGGAGTAAGCATCCTAGGAGGCTCGGGAGTGGTACGGAACCGAGTCGGAATCGCAGTATACCCACTGTTTGTATTCTACGTTGCGATCGGGTGTCTCTGCTTCATCAGTTAAGGGCTCTCTATTGTGATATTGTGCTCAATAGTTGAGAAAATGCGCTGTCACATGCCTCTGATAGGCATCGGCGCAATGAATCTCAATAACAACATTGGATTGATTGTATTAGAATAGCGCGGATACCGGTATATCCAGACATTGAATTGAATTTATGCGAATTGTATTCTGCCGAGGTACCCTTAGGCAACAATAGACAATTGTTATTCTTTAGATGAATATGCTTTGTTCCCATTTTCCATTGACGCTTTGCTATTCAGAGCACTCCGTTTGTTGGGCCCCGCACCCGGCGGTCAAGTTATAAGAACCGGCAAGCTATCTTTTTCCTTCTTCTCTCACCTTTTCACCTTTTCACCCTTCCATCCTCTTGTTCTTCTCTTCGCAAAGTTCGCAAGGTTCAAATCTTCCTTCCTTCGTCGATTCGGCTGGTCCCAATCGATCCGATCTGTTTATCCGCGGTTATCGTTAACCTGTTGGAAGCTCCGCCCAACTCAATTTCGACTGGGTAACTCGAATACCCAATATCATTGACAAGTTTGTCCTTCGGACGCGACGCCATGGCTTCTGCTTCCCGTGAGCAGAACTCCTCGGCAGGTGGTATGTCATCATTGCTTAGGCGCATAGCCTCAAATTCCCCACATAGTTGGGCAGTTTCGCTGACAACTTCAAAGCTCTGGAAGCAGAGCAACCGAAAATGGACCACAAAGGTGCGCTTTGATCTAGTGATCCGTTTTTGTTTTGCCCTACAGATTTTCTTTATATCTACAATTCCCTTACTGCTACACGGCTTTCTCCAAAGTTCATGTGACCTGACAATATCGTCTTGACAGTAACCGCGCAGTCGCCTCCCTCCGACAATGACAGCGGCGAACGTCCCGTGCGACAACAGCTTAAGGAGACCAACCTCGACTCTGTGGGTGAAAAAGACGGTTCTGCCCGTGCAAACCGAAAGCGCTCTTTCGACAACACAGATGGGGCCAACGACACACCCCCAACCAAGCGATCCCGAGAATGCACCCCGGACAACAACTCCAATCACGCTGGAATCTCCAAGGATTCCACTACCCAAGATGTGAGTGACATCGTGCTGCCCAAAGCACCTGCGAACACTTCAGTTCACAATACACTTCTGTCCCACAACCCGATCATGAGCCATATCCCCGAGACCAAGGTCCAGTTTCCCCTGGACTTCGAGATCAAGATCTCAATTGCTGGATCCGAGCAAATTAGCCGTTTGACCATTCCTGTTGAGGTTGGTATCAAGGTGACAGCCGGAGTGGTCTCCTTGGCTTCCCCAACTTCGAGATCCGCTGAAGGCGAATCCTCCAAAATCCATATTACCATTCCTTCCCCAAAGCTTATTCCCCCATCTGGAAACCCTTCCACTGGACCCTCTTCCCCTGGACACCTTTCCCCTGGACACCTTTCCCCTGGACACCCTTCATCTGGGCACCCTTCATCTGGGCACCCTTCATCTGGGCACCCTTCATCTGGGCACCCTTCGTCTGCCCACCCTTCATCTGCCCACTCTTCATCTGCCCACTCTTCATCTGCCCATTCTTCATCTGCCCACTCTTCATCTGAGCACCCTTCATCTGAGCACCCTTCATCTGAGCACCCTTCATCTGCGCAACCCTCATCTGAGTACCCTCCTCTTGGAGAGCCCTCCCATTGGCACCGCTCAATTGAATCCTACATACATGATGACCCTTCATTCCACATTTATGAAGAGCCTGAGTCAATTGGGGATTCTTCATCTGAAAACTCTCTACCTGACTACCGTTCACCTGAATACCCGTCCTCCCCACCTCCTGACCCATGCAGTCCAACGGATTTCAATTACCCTAACCCCATGGTTGAAATCATTGATTCTAACGACTCTCAATCCCCACAGAGTCTTGAAACGACCACCGGCGGAAACGAGGATGAGTCTTCACAAACCCTCAAGAAGAAACGGAGTCGAGAACAACTTGAGGATGATGCCTCGAAGAATTCCCACACCGCGACTGACCCCGCACCCGGCTTGACTGAGACGACTTCAGACGAAAAATCTACTGCCGAAGGACAACCCGAGAAGAAGAGACCCCGCGACAATTCGGAGGAGCGCAAGGCTAAGGTGGACCAGGTGAGTTTGCTCCCTCAACTTCCCCAGCTTTTCTTTTTCCATCTTCCGCTAACACTTGCTTCTAGACTTTCACCGCGAGTGCATTTGGAAAGGCTTCTGCCGCGCCTTCCCCTTTCGCAATGCCTGGAACTAAATCGAGCTCTGATGCTTCGCCTTTTGCAACCAGCGGTGCCTCGACTACTGGTTTCGGTGCCCTCGGATCCGGCTTTTCTGCCTTTGGTAGCGCTTTCCCTGCTACCTCTGGTAAACTTACCAGCTTCGCGTCTCCCAACGCCCCCACTGCTTTCTCTGGAACAGCCGGTAAGCTGACCAGTTTTGCATCTGCCAACGCCCCCACCAGTTTCTCTGGAACAGCCGGTAAACTGACCAGTTTTGCATCTGCCAACGCCCCCACCAGTTTCTCTGGAACAGCTGGTAAACTGCCCAACTTTGCAACCCCCAATACCCCCTTTTCCTTTGACCAGAAGCTTGGTGCAGATGACTCCGAGGAGGAAAGTGACCACGACGAAGTCGGTGAACCCAGTGGCACCTTTGTTGCCGAGAAGCCCGACTCGCGTTTCCACGAACAAACTGGTATGGACCCCTTCCTGCCTCTACCTCCCCCCTGGATCCCGTATATGGCCCGTGACTCATTCGAACGTGAACCCCCAGTTGAAACCGGCGAAGAAAACGAGAGCACTGAGTTCACAGCCAAGGGCAAGTTGTACTACTTTGACGACAAAAAATGGAAGGAGCGTGGTACCGGCACCTTCAAGCTCAATCTCAAGACGGAGTCCAATGGAAAGAAATCCGCTCGCATTATCATGCGCGCCGACGGTGCCTTGCGTGTCATGTTGAACAGTGCGGTTTGGCATACCATGCCCTTTGGTGATGCTAAGGGTTCTCGCCCGACCACTCGGGATATCTACCTCGCCAGCAACGAAGACGATAGAGTTGTGAGCCTTCTTCTCCGGGTAAGTCTCCAAATTCTTCTCATTTCTTCTCTCGTGATACTAACATTGAATAATACAATATAGCTCGGCAATGAGAAGCAGACTGGTGACTTGTTTGATGTACTAAAGGATGTTATGGAGAAAATTTGAGTTGACCAGTCAGTCGCGAAGATAGTCAAGATTGTAAATAACGAAAAACCAGAAGAAAAAAAAAAAAACACAGAACCACTACTCTCATGGGGAAGGCTCAGAGTTGTTACTATTGCAGTTCATTAGCGATCTTTAATACACTTGTGTGAATATTCCATTGTATCTTCTTCCCTCTAGACTTTGCACATTCCTTTACTTAGCATGGATCCTTTACCCTGTCAAAAGCTATTTGGCTATTTGAATTGTCATCTCTCATACATGTCTATGATTTATATCTTTGGAATGATATTGTTTCGCTAATAAAAAGTTTTTCCTTCTTCCGACCTAGCTGTACTCACACCGAAGTCTCTAAGGTGCCCAGGTGGTAATTGTTGATCAGTCATCTGGTGCGAGACCCCGAAACTGTTATGACACCCTGGTGAAGTCTAGCACGGTCTGCACTTAGATTCTTCTTTCCCCATGAACTCGGAGAGCATGCTCTCCCAAATTGTCTTTCCGATTGAAGGATCTACCGCACCCTTCTCGGTGGCACTTGTAAGCACCGGGAAAGAGATGCTGTGTCTCGATATGTCGCCAAAGGACATTTAACCGACCAAACGATTGCGTGGATCGACAGTCCTTCCATTTGCATTGAAACGGCTCTGCAGACGCTCTGGAAGAAGTGATTGTTAGAGAATGAAGGAAGTATCCGACATGGTTCATCATCGAGACTTACTCGGCCTTGTGAGGCATAGGACAGGCTCGAGATCTCTGGTTTCTGACCCGGGCAGCACGATTAGGAATGCATTGTGGTGGGCTTTGCATGGCATGAGCAAGCTGAGGAGAGATAGACGTGGGTTGACCAAGCATAGGGGTGCCATAGCCCATGAGCTGGCTAGTCACGGCGCCACCCTGTGCGACGGAGTATTGCGAGGTGCAAGTGACATTGCCAGGACCTGCTGCATGGCCTTGGGTGGAATGAAGCATGCTTGGATTCGCAGCATGAAAGGAGTATTGCGAGTACGAAAAAGGGTGTTCATTGAGACCATTGAGATCATCGAGATACCCAGTTTCCCAGGATCGCTCATCGAAGAGGCATGAATTGCCTGAAAAAGTTTCATCTGGAGACCAAGCCATCATGAGAGGTTTATGTGATATTCGGAAATTGTATAGAAATGTTTAACGTGGAATTGCTTGAAGGAAATATTGATGAAGTGAAGGCTTATGTTGGGGATTTTCTCCGAGGAATAAAGAGGATTAAATATCTGAAGGATCAACGAAGTCAATGTCAAATTGCCCATCTTGCACCCGGCGAGTGTTGTTTAGATTTAAGCATTCGCCACTGATAGGGGCTGAGAAGTATGGATGTATACGGACGGCCCCCCCCCCCCCCTCCCCAAGGAGATTTTTCTTGGAATCGGATTTGGGATAAAACCAATCAACGCGCAATATTGACATGCAGCCCCCACAGTGTCAAGGGGGTACATTCCAAGGTTGCTTTGCTGTCTTTTGTAAGTGGAGGATCATGCAGTCGGATTTGGTTCTTCTCCAATCACAATACGAGCAAGGTCATCGGCGAATAGGATAATTACGTAGGGTGTAAAGTAGTGGCGCATGGTTTGTGCTCAGCCTCACCTCAGACCGCTACCTAGGTAATCATTTATATAAACGGATGTCTACGGAGTAGTGCCCAAGTAAGTTCTTTTAGTCCTTTTACTTGTACCTTTACACAGATATTGAATCAATAATCTTTTATGTTTCTTCAGAACTATATGTGAAAAACCATGGCGAACCTAAACTGGGAGGCCCACAAGGCTGAAATCGAGCGCCTCTATATCCACCAAGACAAATCGCTGAAGGAGGTGATTCAGACCATGGGAGCGGTACACGGGTTTTGCAGAAGGTATGTACATTTTCCCAAGATCTATCACTTTGATGTACTTGCCTTAAATAACAGTTGCATAGCAAGAGCCAATACGAAACGAAATTCGCGCAGTGGGGACTCAAAAAGTATCACATGGGATCCAAGAAGTGGAAGCTCCTTGATCAGAACCTGAAAAAACGAGGTGCAGACACAGAAGTCTATATCAATGGAGTTCTCTTTGAGCCCAAGAGAGTTAAACGTGAGCTTGGTCGACAGGCCTTTCAAACAACAATGCAAAAAGAAATGGAGAAGGTCATTTCAAGTAAGTTTTCTTGGACAGCGAGTGGAAGTGGGCTCGCAGTCATCTAACACGGTATAGAAACTTCCCCTAAAATTCCAGAAGGTGTTCTGGTCTACTCCCCAGCACCGTCTGCGTTGCAGCTACAATGGCCTTCGAACCTCCCCTGGTTCAATTTCTCACAATCTGCGTTCCCAGACAAGGCTAAAGGTGGGGATGCTTTTGAAATGATGGCCTTTTAGATTCTTGTCCACTCAAGACTTACGCCGTTTTAGGACTTTTTTATTCCCAATCAGAGATAGATATCTCTGCTTCTCCGGGGATGACTCGGTCTAGTCACTCTTCTAAGAAGGATTGGGTTTCCACTTTAGACTCGGTGTTTGCCTGGGTAGCACCACCGAGTCAAAAAGTGCTACAAGGTGGCTCCCGAATGGCTACCGCATTGAGCATTGTAATGCCTGAGGAATACGATGGTCAGCACGCTGCTACCTCCCAGGAGCTTTCCAGCGACAGTGACTCCAAGCTAAGGAACTTTATTCGAATAGCTCTCTATCTTCTGTCTAACAAAATTACTATGCGAGACACAGGAAATTTCGGGTCTCACCTTCATGGTGAAGAGGAATTCATGTTGAAGATCTTTCGCATGTCTGGACTCGACAACATTGTGAGCTTGCGCCATTTGCTATCTAGGAAACATAACATGTCAGATGGGGCAATTGCAGAGAGCCTCTTTGGTAGTGCAATTAAATGTCTTGACATCGAAACCACACGGTTGATGCTGGAGGCTGGCATGGGTCCCGACACCCTCATCGATGTCAAATTCCGTCCTATGAAAACTGCCACACCCCTCGGATATATGGCCATGAAATGTGGTGAAGCTGCCTTACAGATTTCCCGCTTATTACTGAAGCATAGCGCTACTGTCGATCTTTGTCACGGCGGGGAATCCGCACTCGACATTGCTGTGAAGCACTCCAATGGACACATGGTAGAAGTTCTCGCATTGAACGGTGCCCATATCACGGCAAAGTCCTTACATTCTGCCGTGAAGGGGAATCAAGATTTCAGAATTGTTCACTGTCTTCTGACAGCTGGTCCCGAGGGTCTTGTGGACCATATGTTTCCTGAAGGCACGATTCTGGTGACCGCACTTAAGCGAATTGATGCGACGGGGAAACTACTGGCACGAAAAGCCAACATCAATGCGATACAGCCTATCCAGTCTCACGACCAGTTCAACGGTCTCGGAACGACTTTAATAGGCTTAGCATCTGCAAGTGGCAACGATGAATTGGTACGAACCCTCCTCGAGGCCCGTGCAGAAGTCAATATAGAGTCCAAATCTGGTCTTTGTGTTCCACCTCTAGTACTGGCAGTCCACGGGGGAAACAACAATATCGTCACTCTCCTTCTTCGGGCGGGATCTGATGTCTCTCTCGCAGACGCCTTCATAGCGCCACAGGAGAGCGTCGGAAACTCACTCTTTGAAAGGGCTTTGACACGAGATGCTCACACGACAGACCGCATCAGATTGTGTCAGACTTTGCTAACCGAGGGCGGAAGAGCGAGTCAGCGTGCGATGGAAGACTTTAACACCCTTCAGCTGTTTGATGCTGTGATACGTCGTGATGCGGAGTCTGTGTCTCTATTGCTCGGTCTTGGCCCCCGGGTAACCACTTATGATGCCAAATTCGGACACAATGCTCTTGTGCTGGCTATCAGAAATGGAGATCAGAAAATAATATCTTTGCTTCAAGCAGCTGGAGCTACAGTTGTCGGTTGCGCTATAAGATTTATTGCTAATGTTGAGACTGCGATGTTTCTGCTCGACATCGGAATTTTACATGCGGTTCTATATGCAGATGGCTACACCATCCTTGTATCTGCGATACTTGCGCAAGATGACGACTTGACAACGTTCCTGCTCGAGTGGGGGGCCGACCAAACACAGCCTGTAGTTTTCCCGCAATTTGAAATACCACAGCATCTCTGCAAAACTGTGCTAGAGGCAGCCCTATGTCGAGGAAATCTTCCTCTAGCCGAAATTCTTGTTCAACGGGGCGCCTATCTTGGTGAAGCAGAAATCATCACGATTGCATGGAGAGCCTCAGTAATGAATGATGCCGATGTGCTTCGCTCTTTCCTCGCCATGTTCCCCCGTTTCTCTCTAACGTCTGCTACTGCAGTTGCAATGGCTCTGTTATCCAAAAACTCTGAAATTATCCATCTTCTTCTCAACGCTGGTATCAAGCCTAATGGAATTCCAAGGATGCGGCCTCATTACTGTGATCCAATCAAAAGTGAGGCCTCGAAGAACGATATGTTTTCGCATCCTGAGCAATGGAGTCTTGTGCTATCATATCCGCAATCAGTGCTTGAATTGGCAGTTATCCACAACGAACGATCTATAGCGCGAAGTCTAATTGCATGCGGAGACTGGACAAAACGTGAAATGGGTCGTGCTTTCACAACCAGCTTACAATACGGAGAACATGAGCTTGCTAAAGAACTGCTGGCCGCCGGTGGAGATGTACACCAACTCAGTTTCGTCAAAGGGATTTCAGTATCTGCTAGATATCCTGTGGAGATTGCTTTAGAAGAAGGCAATACTCGACTATTGCAGAGTTTAGTTTCTGCCGGACTAGATCCTAATCGTTCCAGCGGTGGCCATCTCACTGGCTTACAGCGGGCAGTCAAGTATGGAAATATGAAGCATATTGAAATGCTCCTTGCTGCTGGGGGAGACGTCAACAGCCCAGCAATATGTCACCATGGAAAGACTGCATTGCAGATCGCGGTGCAGTTCAAAGATACAGGCATTACAGAAATGCTGGTTAGAGCTCACGCGAATGTCAATCCTCCCCTGAACCCTTTGAACGCTGAAGACGAATGTCCCTTGCATCTTGCAATCAAAATTGGAAACAAAAAGCTGGTTATATTTTTGCTTCAAGCCGGAGCAAACGTGAACAGTCCACCTAGTCCGTTCCATGGTACTACAGCCTTGCAATTAGCGGTGAAACAAGGTGATTTGGGTCTTGTCGATCTGTTTCTGCGAGAAGGTGCGGATGTCAACCAAGCGCCGGCCCACAATGGTGGAGCTACGGCTTTACAATTTGCTATTATCCAAGGTTACATTGGCATTGCACGTAAGCTGTTGGATGCAGGCGCAGATGTGAATGCACCGAGAGCTCCATTAAACGGAAGAACAGCACTCGAAGGTGCAGCTGAATGGGGCCGTGTTGACTGCTTACAACTTCTTCTGAATGAGGGAGTTTCAGCGGAAGGTGAAGGTAGAGATCAATTTGTTCGAGCTGTGATCTTGGCTAAAGCCAATGGACATCTGGCTGTGGCCAGATTTCTCAAGACCAAATTTATTTGGACTGACTCTGACTTTGAGGGCGACCAAGACCATTTTCTTGCTGATATGGGGGTGCCGAAGGAGTTGTTGAATATAGGGCAAAACTGTCAAGACTGCCAAGGTATGCTATAGAACCCTGAGCACGGAATATCACATCAATATACCATGTTAGATGTAATATCAGACCTTTAGATTTTACCTCTAAAGGTAATAAACGCCATCACATCCCGGTATGACCTTAGAATGGGTTATTAATGCATTATTAACAAACCTTATGCATCACTAACTCACTAGTTCCTCCACTGGGCCCGAGGGCATATCCACAACTTGGACAAGGCAGCACTTTTCTACCCCTGTGGCCATCTCCCTGGATGTGAGGACAAGAACGACTGTATGTACAATATTGTAGTTGTGGTTTCAAACTACATAGACTTATATTTCACCTTGAACTGAATACTGTGATACATATACATTTTACCTTCTAGTCTTAATTTTTAAGCCCTGAAGATGTGAGACACTCAGCCACCAACCCCCCCCCACCCCAACCACTGCCAAGATTCCACAAATGAGCTATCCATTCTGATCTTAAACCCCATCTTCGCTTTCGCTGATTTTCTTATTCTACACAGAAGAGTAGTGCCATATACTCCGTATATGGCACAGAGTTAAGGAGCATACTCCCTACTCAGCTTCCTTTTGATTGAGGTACATATCCCTCGGCAATTCCCGAAGAATTACCGGGACCTGGCATCCAAACCCACTTTCGGATCCTCGGATACATAGGTTTGCCAATTATGTACATTATGAGTGGTCTTATAGAAAGTATGTAGTACATAGCACCGCCGATCACTTGGGAAGTGGACTCCTATTGCGCAGAACTCGGAAGAAAAAAAATTCAAGGGTTTGTCACACGAATGCAGGGGAAGCTGGCATGTTGGGGATATAAGAGTAGCCTCTCAGTAGCTCTGCCCGAGTGGGCCGATTGAGATTTTGCACTGCGAAGATAATCTCTATACGAGAACTGCCAAGATGTTCGGTCGATCTCTCACGGCAGCGCTGACAATCGCACTTCTCATCAATGGCGGCCAAGCAAAACAGCCGATTCGACGCGCTTCCACACATTCCACCCATCATACTCGTGGATCTGAACCGATTGATACGTCAAATTATCGATTTTTAACTAACAAGACCAAATGTTTGCTTTATTCCAATCCTTTCTTTCAATCTCGACTGACCAAAATGTAATCTTTTCACAGCTCATGTGGTGGAGAGCTTACCGGATGTACATTTCGAATTGGGAGAGATGTACTCGGGATTTATGCCCATCCGTGAAAATAATTCCTTGTTTTATATATTTCAACCCAAGATTGGGGAACCAAGCAACGACCTCACAGTTTGGCTGAATGGTGGACCGGGTTGTAGTTCAATGCAGGGGTTTCTGCAAGAGAACGGCCGCTTTACTTGGCAGCCCGGCACCTATGAACCAGTCATTAATGAGTACTCATGGGTTAATTTAACCAATATGTTGTGGTAAGTCATTAGTGAAAACAGTATAGATGTAATTGATAAACTGACTGTGTATAGGGTCGACCAACCGGTTGGAGTTGGGTTCTCAAACGGTACACCGACTGCTACCGGTGAGGAGGAGATCGCTGCCGATTTCGTCAACTTTTTCCTGGAGTTCCAAGAAGAATATGATATCAAGAACTTCCGAATCTTCCTAACGGGTGAAAGTTATGCGGGCCGGTACGTGCCCTACATATCCGCCGCCATGCTTGACAAGAACGATACCGAACACTTCAACCTCAGCGGTAAGACTTGAGAATCCCCCGAAGCTGCATTATATTGGTCGCACATTCTCATCCATATTAGGAGCTCTGATGTATGATGCGTGCATCGGCCAGTGGGATTATATCCAGGCTGTACTCCCCGCTTACCCCCTCGTTGAACAACATGCCGACCTGTTCAACTTCAACCAATCGTTCATGGGGGAGCTGCAGGATACCTATGAACAATGCGGTTACAAGGAATATTTCGAGGAGTATTTCACTTACCCGGCCTCTGGAGTCCAGCCCCCCAAAGAAATGGATTACTCCAAGTGCGACATTTACAACATGATCTATAATGAGGCTTTTAATACAAATCCATGCTGGAGTCCTTATAAGATCAGTCAAACATGTCCACTCCTGTGGGATGTCCTAGGCTTCCCCACAGACCTCTTCTACCAACCGGGTCCATCAACCTATTTCAACCGCACGGATGTCAAGAAGGCTCTGCATGTTCCTACGGATATCGACTGGGAGCTCTGTAGCGTCGAGAGTGTCTTTGTGAGCCCCGACCCAGGACCCGAGCAACAATACGACGAGTCTGCGAATCCCACGGAGCATGTCCTGCCACGACTGATTGAAGCGACTAATCGCGTTTTAATCTCGAACGGAGATTGGGACTATCTGATTATCACGAATGGAACGTTGCTGGCGATCCAGAACATGACCTGGAATGGCGAGCTGGGCTTCCAGACTCGTCCTACAACCCCCATTCATATTGACATGCCCGACCTACAATATGCTGCGGTCTTTGATGCCCAAGAGGGATATGGCGATTACGATGGCCCGCAGGGGATTATGGGTGTTCAACACTATGAACGTGGTCTGATGTTTGCCGAAACCTTCCAAGCAGGTCATCGACAGTCCCAGGATCAAGGCCGTGTGTCTTATCGTCATGTTCAGTGGTTGTTGGGTGATGATGATCATCTTTGATGCCCTTCTTCGGAGACTGGATCTGGAGTGTAACCAAGCCGCTGTGGCTCGCTGAAGTTACACTTGGCTTTCTGCCGTGGTTTATTTTAAATATTGTATATGTATATCAAGTCTCCTGGCATTTCTAGGGATTAATAAAAGTATCAGATTGCTTTAGGGTCAAATGAGAGAGAACTGCCCAGGTGCGGCCCTGGTATCGGATAAGCCCATTTCTTCAATATAGGCAAGTACCTTCTCTTCATCCCCTCTCTGCACCTTCCTCTTCTCTTGACATTTCTCTTTGTCTGTCCCCCAGCTCTTCTCTTTCCTCTTGTCCAATCACTTATACCTCAAGCGGTCAAGCGGGAAGGAACTATTCGTGACCGTCCCTTTAACTACTGATTGACTGCTTCTCCAGTTTAAACCAATGCTAGGGATCCTGCTCCACAAATCATTTGATAGCCTCAACAATACCCTCTCCGCTTCCAGGAGGCTGATAAATTTTGACATTCGTCAGTCCCACAGACGCAAGAAGATCCCGCCACTGCTTCTCAGACCGTTCAAACGCAGCAACCTGGACCATCATCATAATGCTCAGGCAAGCAGACGGCAGACCACAGTGAAGATCCGGGAGAATGGACTCGTGGATAACCAGACGAGAGTAACCGGGCTCCATTGCATCGACAATATTGGCCAGAATAGATCGACAGTGCTCGTCTGACCAGTCATGAAGAATCCAATGCATGAAGTATGTTCGCGCGCCTATTTGAGCTTTATTAGCACAAACCATAGTATGCAATCCGAACATCATACACACCCTTGACTGGTTGAGGCGTGAAAAAGTCGTGTGGCGCTAGCTCTGTGCCCTCTGGGAGATTTTCGATGGTCGAAATAACCTGTGGCAGATCTTGTAGGATCAAACGCCCAGGTGCCTCGGGGAATTTCTCCCGGAATTGGCGCAAATAATTCCCTTCGCCACCTCCAACATCAACGAGGAGAACTTCTTCGGGCTTAGCGTTATAGCCATCAATGATTAGTTGCTGGATGTCGAACCAGTCAACCCAATTGACGGTGGTTTTCTGCTTAAGTGCCATCCATTGTTGGAAATCCCTGGCTAGGTCTGGATTGTGGCCCAACCACTCGAAATAGTTCATATCGGTGTTGAATGCTAGTTGAAAAGGTGTCTCTTTGGCAGAGGTAGGGAATTGATTGTTATTTTTGCGGAAGAATTCCGGTGCTTTGGAGGTGCAAAGGTTACCGATCTCAAAGCTACATATAGTCAATAAAATATTCAACCAATTGAAAGGGTAGGTGAGTAACTGAACAATGCACTGACCAGGCTCGAGTGGTTGCTTCCATGATTGGGTCTGCCATCACCATGGTAAGAGGTGAGGGCTTGAAGTGTTGTACTCCATCCTGCTTGATATATCCTGTCGCGGCGAGAAGGCGAGTAATCTGGTCTTTAGAAATTGCTATATTAGCTCCATGTGGCCTATAGCAATATACTATTTATGCTGAATATTATGATATTCTGATTAATAGTGGGGAGCGGTATAGATATCCACCACCCATATTGAGACAGAAGCCTCAGATATGCCAATCTTACCAACAAGGGCTAAGCTTGCACCAGATTTCTCTGCAATCTCTGGAGAGGAAGCGCCACATTCTGGATTTTGGCTGATCAGAGTAAAAATACCCAGTTGAACACCCATACGAAGAGCCATCAAAGCTGGGGAGTGCTATAAATTCACAATTAGTTACTACATTCGAAGGCCACATTGCAGAACTGCAATGAAGGGTTTTGTAGAACATACCATTACTACATCCTGAATAACTCTCTCAACAGGGGACTCTAGGGCAGCCAATAACCCCCGAGCAGCATTGAGTGCTTCTAAACGTGCTTGCTCATCGAGGCCTTGGGTCTGCACGCTATCGGTCAAAGCAGCGATCTGTGATGAGAGAGATGTGTCCTTATTTTGGCTCATGATGAATTTGCTTCAAGTTTCATGGAAACTACAATTCTCCAAAACAATGTATTAAAGCCTTTAAGATGTTTCGTACGGAGTACGGAGAACTCTGTACATAAACGCTAAATATACACGGAGACATCGGGGTTCCGGTTGTGTGAACCGTGCCCACCAAAACAGGTCCACCCTATAAACTAGTATCAAATGGTAATGTGGCCGAGAGACGGTGGTTTTGTTTATGGCCCAGCTTAACTAGCTAAAACCTAAACTACAGATTAGCGCACGGAGTAGAGGTTTCAGTTTAGGTGACCTCTTGATAGGCCGGTGATATTCCCCAATACGATATACAAAATAGGAACGAAGTAAAACATAGTTTACTCATGGGGATCAAAGGCTATACATAGCAAAGTCTCTTGCACAAAGTATGCTTTTTTTACGGTCTTCCTTTACACCTAAAAAGACCATCGAAAGACCAACAAAAAGACATCACAAGGCCGCATAAGCGGCCGACTATTCTTGTATCATTGTGAAACCAAATACTAGTCTCAAAATGTATGACAGTGGAGTCAAAGGGCGAGAATAAATATAACTTGAAGATATCAATTTCCCCAAAATTCGAGCGCCTGTATCTCGTTCATTGGCATGTCGAATTGATAAAACTGCGTGTTTGTGTGCAAAAAGGGGCTCTTCCCCTTAGCTCCGGGTTTTATATTTTGACTTATTAATATGCTTAAATCCGCATAGAAAAAGAATGTCTGATTATATTCCGAGATTCATAGCACGCGCAACTGATAGGAGTTCCAAAGACATTCCCGTTTATAAAAGCATCGCCCCCGAGGGTCTAAATCTATGCTCAATTCCTTTATCGCATACAATATCCCGATGAATATGCCTAATAGCCAAGGCTTTTTTTTCTAAGCTTTATGCGATTGTACTTTTTCCTTCTGTCTTGCTAGAGACTGAGAGTTTCTCTAGGGTTCCTCTGGCGTACGTGGTAAGCTTTCACTCGCACAAAAGAAAAGGTCCCAAGGAGCCTCCTTCCGTTTCAAGAAGCTGTAAGTCGGCGTGAATTTTAAGGTGAGCTTTTGCTGAGGCAGATCGAAAACTGCTTCGATCACGCGTACTTGACAAAATCTATATTGCGAGATATATAGGATCTGCTCAGGGATAAGCCATGGCTAGTAACCGCTATTAGGTTTCTATAAAACTCACCGGAAACACCGATTCTTTCTCATAGCCTGGTTGGTATACACGGTTATAAACCACCGACAGAATAGCTCTCATTTCTGTGCCCAACAATGCATTTTCCGGAGCATCGCAGTTGTGGGCGACACTCATTTTCACATGGGGAGGGATGTAGATCGCATTTTCAGATTCTGGTCCCTTCCATTCCTTCAGAGTCTGGATTTACGAGTGCTCTTCACCCTCGACTCCACGACGATGATACAACCCATTCAGCACACCGAAGAACGGGTTTGGGGTTCTATAAAACCATCTTAGTGTCTCATATTGACTATTTGCTCCCATATGTGATGACATTATATATCGAATTACCAGGGGGCAGATACATACTCAAGTGAAGCCCACGGGCCACGTTCACTGCCGAAGGCAAGGAACATTGGACGGTTTTTAGCAAAAAGCCTCTACTGAATCTTTCTTTCCAGTATAATCAGAATATCCCTGTATGAGTGAGATGCCTCTTTCTCTGGGTTTGGATCTCGAATATCCCAGGCATCCACCTTTATCTTAGGATGGAAGGTAGGATGTGGTCGAAAATGACCCTCGTCCGACAAGAGTGATTCTACATTTGGAAGGGCAATTGCTGTCACCCCTCGACGAGCGAACACCTGCACGGAGAAAATTTGTTTTTCCTGGCGTTGAAAAAATCCAATGAGGTTGTGTAGCTGAGGACTGCACTCTCGTTTTAGTTTCACTTGTTCCGACAAATATCCATCATTCAGTGTCGCGCGGGATGCAGATGTGAACACAATAGTCTTAGCCGGCATGGTGAGTGCAGTATTCGTGAAGTATTATAGAGGTAGGTTTAGGTTCGACAGGTGTCTGTCTAATATATGTCAACTATGGTGACAATGATGACGTGTCTATATCAAAACGTAGAGGTGTAATAATATGATAATGTAAGGGACTTCAAGTGATTGTGAAATTGGCAAATATTAAGCTGACCCCCGACAAGCGCGAATATCTTCGATTTATTACAAGCATCCGCTATCATTAGTTATGTCTTTGTTGGTGGGCTAGTTACGAAGCCCCAGGGGGGGCCAAGTCCTCCTTCAATTCTAGGTGCAATAATCGCTGAATGATGATTTTGAATGAATTGAGTCTGTCCTACACATGTGGCCTTCAAAAAGACCTGTCGTCATCACTCTCCACTAAAACCTCTCTCGTTTGCTATATATCCGACTGGCTATTATTGCTCTCGGCATCACAGGATTTTTGTTTTATATTCTTGAGGGGCAAATCCGCCGCAGAAAGTGTCCGTTTATAGCGCTGAAAGGAATTATATGAGGGCTTGAAGCCGGAGCCCGTTCCTTTTTGTGAGGTAGTTTTGCCAGTAGAGCCAGTGGTAGACTTGAATACCTTGCAGAAAAAGGGGCGAAGAGCCGGGACATAAGCGGCGACAATGACAACGTTTTGCTCAATCCTAGACTGGAAGTTAGCGGAGTTGGTAAACAGGTGTGGGTAATACTTACAGTCCCCAAAGAAACGAGGGAAGTGCACCAACGAGGATCAGTATGGTCGGTGAATAGCTTCAAATATGTTGCTTTAACGAGTGTGATGATCGCGGAAAGCGGTGTCAATGCCATCATAATGCAAACGCTCAGTCTTGTCGAAAATGGCATTTACAATTTCCAAAATGATATCTGTCATAGTTGTATATGCACTGACCAAATAGGAGAAGTCATTGAAAACATCCGGGCTCTAATATGTGCCCTTAATGGAAGCGTTCCACATTTTTGCCGTGCGTTTGCATTGAAAAAATACAATCAAAACGGATATAATGGCCAAAGCAACTTGGAAAACGACCATGGCGTACAAGAGTCTTGCACAAAGTGAGTTGGGATCAAGAAGATGAACAATGAGAATCGCAATCGAGATGTTGGGGAAGCTAAACGCTCCCATATATCTTGATCGTGCGTGCCCCTTTCTCTCTGCCTACAATGCACATTGTATATTGCGATGGTTAATTAGTTATTAATATACCCGAAGGGTGATATGCGTCGAGGCATAATAGGGAAATGGTGGATAAACTCACTACTTTGGAAGTAATGCTATCTTCACTATAAACAAAAGGGCACAAACTACGAAGTCTTAGACACTTTAGGCGCGGCTCAACTGTTTGCCTTGTCTAGATTGGAGTGGAACCCAGGAATATGCTACGGGGTATACGTACTTCGTACGAAGCTTCTAATTGTACGAATTAGGTAATTTTCCTAAATGAAATTTACATGTGAAACCTGTCGGGCTTAGCGAGCTAAATGGTCAACTCACAGCGCCTGTTCGCTCATTTTCCATTATTACTCCGTATTTTGTACAACATATATGGGGCAAGAGAAGCCTTTAAGCGCCCGGACCAATAGACATGATTCAAACAATGCCATTTGCTCCGCAAAGAGTCTTGACAAGAGTCGTTAGCTCCCAATCTACAGACATCCAATGATGTGAGAACCTGTAATTATCTCGGCTCAACTCCGAAAGATCACCCGCCCTCTTACCACTGAGGTCTTTAGTAACGCTAAGGTAAGTCTAAGACTTGGTTGGGTGAAGGCGGCACTTAAGAGGGTCCACGGGTGAGCGAGAAGTTCATTCGTGCCCTCAACTGTGTACTAGCCCCATACTAAAACTGGAAAAATATGGCCAGAAGGGGGAGGGGCAAGTAGGTCCCATACACCATTTTCCCTTTAAGAGACAGTTCCCTTAGGAATCACTTGTCACCTTATCAACGCCAAATATCATCATGACTTCCCCATCTGTCTCCGCAATTCTGGATGGAATTGCTACTTCACGCGCGGCATTCGACAAGAATGAAGCTGGCTCAAGAGAAGCTCTGATTGACCAAAGCCGCGCGCTGATTGCAGCTCTGGAACTCCCAAGCGAGTTCGTCCAGCGCACCTTCTGGGCAGAGGTGGGATATTATAACATCGTTGAAAGGTTATTGAGCTCACAGTGCTAATTGGACTTTTACGACAGCCAGCTCAAAGCGCCATTATCCGCATCGCCGTCGATGTCAAGCTTTTCCAACACCTCAAGGATGCAGGAGATGCAGGACTCACCCCGCCAGCCGTTTCTCGGAAGACTGGGGTCGACAGTACTCTCCTACAGCGCTTAACAAGACATCTAGTGGCAATGAACCTTGTGTCATTCCATAACGGGGCGTTCTACGCCACGAATCTAAGCAATGGTCTCGCAGCGGAGAACTACCAACACAGTATCAATTTCTGCTATGATGTGGCGCGCCCTTCATTTAACGGATTCCCGGAATATTTCAGAAAGTCCGAATACAATTCCCCGATTCTGGGTGGAACTGACGGCCCGTTTCAAGAGGCCCACAAAACAAACCTCCCGTTCTTTGAATGGCTTGTCGCGACGCCACCGCACCTCCAGCATTTCGACTCTTTTATGAGCGCGTACCGCGCGGGTAAACCGAATTGGTACGAGTTCTACCCCGTTGCTGAGCGATTAACTACGGGCTTCGATGCTTCTATTAGCGATGTTCTTCTCGTTGATGTTGGTGGCGGAAAGGGTCACGATGTAGCTACCTTTGCTGCTCAAAATAGCCCTTCCTCGGGTAGGATTGTGCTTCAGGATCGAGAACCTGTAATCGCGGGTGTGGTAGCTGAAAGTACAGAGCGAGCCTTTGAAGTGCAAGCTCATGACTTCTTTACACCCCAGCCTATCAAGGGTGCACGTGCATACTCTCTCCATTCTATTCTCCACGATTGGAGTGATGAAGATGGCATCAAGATCCTGGAGAGCCTTGTACCTGCTTTAAAGAAGAACTACTCACGGGTTCTGTTCAATGAGATTGTGATTAACGAAGAGAAACCTACACTTGCAGCGACCAATATGGATATGATGATGTTGGCGCATTTTGCTGTGAGAGAAAGAACCGAAGCTGATTGGAGAGACATTCTGGCCCAGGCTGGGTTGAAGGTGGTCAATATATACACCTATCCAGGCGTTGCGGAGAGTTTGATTGAGGCAGAGCTGGCCTGAGGGCGGGTTTTGTATGACCTTTGAGTTAAAGATTTTTGCACCATATAGATTAATATTACAACAATATGTCAAGGATAAACCAAAGACCCCTGGTTATTCATAGAGTAGGTAGAAAGAAGATAGTTATAAAGACACGCCACACCCAGCATCGATCAACCTCGGAACCATGGAACGGATGGCCATTTTAGGTGATATTGATGCACGTGATCTCGCGTTTCCCGTCAACCAAGACTTTAATTGACTTCAACTTCAACACAGAGCACTATGGAGCTTCGAGATGACGGGCTCCTTGTCAATACCAGTGCAAACCCCATCGCTAAAACGGAAACGAAGTCAGGAAGGTGATCGCAGCCTCGAGTCCAATGTGCCTCTACCCTTGAACGCGTCGCCCCAAGAACCTGCCGATCCTACCCCCAATGAACCCAATGTGCAGATAGGCGGATCTGTCAAAGCTATAGCCGCCAAAAAAACGAGCAAAGGGAAGAAGGTTACCTCGAAGCCACCGAAGCCCTCGAAACGAACTCCATCTGCGCCATTGCCAGATGCCTTTAAGCGCCTCTCGCAAACCCATCGCGCCTTGAATCTCGTTTATACGTTTTGCTGCACGCGAAAACACTTTGCCACCACGTTTGACAACATAAAAAAGGCCGTACAAGCTCAACTTGGCCAAGGGCGAGAGCTCACGGTTGAGGATGTGGCACGGGTGAAAGTTATAATCCCCGGAGCGGTCCGGTTTGAATATGTGGACGAGGCCAAGTTGGAAGTTATGACTGCTGGCGATGAAGAGATAACTCAGTATGGGTTACACAAGCCATCTAGTCTGGTATCTGCGGCGGACATGGATGCAGCCGAAGAAGCCAGAAGTGGCGATCTTCATTATGCAGACGACACAAAACAAGTTTTGCTATTTGAGTTTATGGACGGCGATCTGAAGCGGGAAGTACTGAACCCGAAAACTGGGGAACCTATGAAACCTATGCGTCGCATGAAAGATGACGATCTGAAAATGCCCGTCTACAGCCAAAAGCAGATGCTGAGTTTGATTGAAAAACGAAATGCCAAATTCTCAGACGCTATGAATGCGTTTTTGGTTCAATGTGAGGACAACAATCTTGATCCAGGGGATTTTCTTGAACAAGAGAAGATTGCTTTCCTGCCGAACCCTCCAAGCAGCGGGACAAATAGCCCTCTTGTGGCGAAACCGCCAGCAACAATTCCAAAGGAGCGAAAGTCCATTGAGGAAATCATTGCAGAGATTCGACAGATGGATTTGTATCATGCACAGATTGTGCCGGAAGGCCATCGAGTATTCGAAGCCCAGTCTCCTGTCTATGGAGATTTGACATTCCAGCTCTCGCAAGACCTTGTTAATGCTCTGTATAACACAAAAGGAATCACCCAAATGTATGCTCATCAAACGGAGGCAATCAATCACCTGTACGACGGCCATAATGTGATTGTGTCGACATCAACGAGCTCGGGAAAATCCCTTATCTATCAAGTCCCTATGCTGCACGAGCTAGAAAAAGATCCGGAGAGCAGGGGGATGTATATCTTCCCCACTAAAGCCCTAGCACAAGATCAGCGCCGCAGCATGATGGATCTACTTCAGTACATGAACGGACTGCAACACACAATGGTTGAAACCTTTGACGGGGACACGCCAATGGGGAGTCGCAACATGATTCGTGACGAGGCGCGCATCATTTTCACTAACCCAGACATGCTTCATATTACAATTTTACCGCAGGAGAGTTCCTGGCGCACTTTTTTGAAGAATCTAAAGTTTGTCGTTGTCGACGAGCTGCACGTCTACAACGGCCTGTTTGGGTCTCACGTTGCTTTTATCATGCGACGCCTCCGCAGAATCTGTGCTGCGGTGGGCAATCGGCATGTCAAGTTCATATCTTGCTCTGCTACTGTTGCAAACCCAGAGGATCATATGAAGTCTGTCTTTGGGGTACAGGATGTGAAACTTGTCGATTTTGATGGATCTCCTTCGGGTCGTAAGGAGTTTGTTTGCTGGAATACGCCATTCAAAGATCCCAAAGATCCTACTTCAGGACGCGCTGACACCGTCACTGAGACTGCGAGGCTGTTTTGTCAGCTGATCCTCAGAGGAGTGAGAGTCATCGCATTCTGCCGAATCAGAAAGCTATGTGAGATTCTCTTGCAAAGCGTACGCGCGGAGTTTGATAGGCTGGAACGAACGGAGATTGGCAAACTAGTAATGGGCTACCGAGGCGGGTATAGCCCCCAAGATCGACGTCAAATAGAAAAAGAAATGTTCGAGGGAAAGTTGATGGGAATCGTGGCTACCAACGCTCTGGAATTGGGCGTTGATATTGGCTCGCTGGATGCAGTCATCACCATGGGATTCCCCTACTCGATTTCCAATCTACGCCAACAAAGCGGCCGCGCTGGACGACGTAACAAGGACTCCCTCTCCGTCCTAGTCGGAGACAGATACCCAACCGACCAACACTACATGCAGAACCCAGATGAAATATTCACACGGCCGAACTGTGAGCTACAGATCGATCTATCCAACGAGCTCATCCTCGAAGGCCATGTCCAATGCGCTGCATTTGAGATGCCTATCCGTCCAGAGGAAGACAACATCTACTTCGGGCAACAGCTCCTCGCCCTGGCCCCAACCCGCCTCACCAAAGATCCCCTCGGCTTTTACCATTGCCATCCACGCTTCCGCCCCCATCCCTCCCGCAGCGTCTCAATCCGCGATACAGAAGACCAGCACTTCGCCGTGATAGACATAACCAATAACCGCAACATGGTTCTCGAAGAAGTCGAAGCCTCACGCGCCTTCTTCACCATCTACGAAGGCGGAATCTTCCTCCACCAGGGTACAACCTACCTCGTCAAAGAACTAAACACAGAATCATTTCTAGCACGTGTTGTCCGCGTCCACGTCGACTGGAACACCATGCAACGCGATTTCACCGACATCGACCCCATCGAAACCGAAGCAATGCGACTAGTCAGCAACGACCCCTCCGCCTCACGCGCCTTCTTCGGTGCAATTAAAATCCACGCCGTAGTCTACGGCTTTTTCAAAATAGACAAGCGCGGCCGCGTCCTCGACGCTGTCGCCGTTGATAACCCGCCAATCGACCGTCTTACTAGGGGTATGTGGCTCGATGTCCCAACGCGCGCTATCGACATCCTGCAATCGCATCGGCTAAATATAGCCGCGGCCATCCACGCTGCTGAACATGCCGTTCTGTCCCTCCTGCCATCCTTCGTTGTCTCCTCTCCCGGTGACGTCCGCACGGAATGCAAAGTCGCGAAGAAAGAACTTGGCAGACCGTTGCGTCGCGCAAACGTACCCAGTGAATTCGAGGAGAAGCTTAAACCGCCTTCGCGGCAGAGGCCTGCTCGGCTTACCTTCTATGATGCGAAGGGTGGGTCATGTGGTTCTGGGATTGCTAGTAAGGCATTTGAATTTATTGGTTTGCTTCTTCGGCGGGCGGTTGCGCGTATTGAGGCTTGTTCTTGTCTCTCGCCGCAGGGCTGTGTGGAGTGTGTCTGTGATGAAAGATGTAAGGAGATGAATGTTGTTATGAGTAAGGCTGGAGCTGGGGTTATACTACGGTGTTTACTGGGGTGGGAGGTTGATGTTGATGCATTGCCGTGGGGGGAGGATGTTGAGGGGGATGAACTTGGAGTTGGAGGTGCTGGGGAGCTGGCTGGTGGGTTGGAGACTGTTGTGAGGGCTGAGGAGGTGCCGTGGAAGGCTGGATGTCGGGTTGATTGTTGAGATACTATATGTAGTATAGATCGTTATCGAGTTCTGCGCATTCCTGGCGTTAGGTACGTATATATATATCCAGTACAAACAAACCCCGTGCACCTCTGGGATGTTGCGAGCTAGCTGCCTATATATATAATTAATTTCTGGCTAGTTCCAAATCACATATAGATACAGACTCGATATAGGAGAAAGTAGTGGATGGGTATTGCTTTGGAACAAACAGGAAGAGGGATTTTATACATGTAGGATGAAAGAGATGTTAGAGTGGTAGCTAAATCTTCAAGTTGAAAGAAATATAAAAAGTAATCACCTGGATTGACTGGTGATCAAAACGGCAGGCTGGGTCCAGGCAATACGGAAGGCAGGCAAACACTAAGGAAGGCGGTTTGAGGGATAAGAAATACACTGCAAACCATCAAACCGCTGGACCAAGGTGTCCACCGTACCTTGGAGGGCTGGACAAGCAACGATCCATAGCACCCGCAGAACCGCAGTTAAGTGGTCATGCCGGTGCTGAGCTTCGCACCTTGGAACAGATTTTTGATGTCTCGATCATATTTGTAGCCCTTGGGTGATTCGGGGTTTGGTGTTCCACTCATAAGAAAAGAGAAAACATCATTGGAAGTATGGACGTATAAATGAGGTGCAATGGACGGTACCAGTCAATGATCCTATAGGAAGTTGGGTATAATAAATGTACATCAAGTCATGGCCGAGAAAGACGTTTTCGGGGTTCAGGGGAGAGGTGGGTAATAGTATGTCAAGGTAGAAAGGGCAAAGGAGGGTGCGTATATGCGACAATGATGGGGGAGGTCAGATGAACATTATATGCAAGGGCAATTCACCAGAATGCGAAGAGAAAGCGGGAGAAGATGGAAAGAGTCGAGAAAAAGGTGAGGATGTGAATCGACGTCCTATGGAAATTTTGTTCAACTGGGACGCGGTAATTGTGTCGTGCAGTTGCAGGATATGAGTGGAATTAGTTGCCTGGGCGTTGGCAACGTAGGGGGTGAGATTCCAAGAATGAAGCGGAGGCCGTACTTGTAGATCATGGGAACCCGGGGACTGGATGGATGGTGCAAAGCCCAAAAAACCCCCCATTAAGTGAAGACCTCTATGAAGGGCTCTTGTCGTCGTCGGTTTCATCTAGATTCAACTTCCCGAACATAGACTTCATATCACGAACAGTCTCGCGCTTCTCATCGCGCGTCTGTGATGAGCGCTCGTC